AGAGAGAGAGAGAGAGAGGAAGAGAGATTTGAAGAAGCTGTAATGGCGTCGGAGCAAAACCAAGAGGCCAATCTAATCGATGGGAAAGACATCGCCAACACCATACACAAAGAAATAGCATCTGAAGTTTCCCAGTAATCCCAGAAGTGTGGTAAAGTGAGTCCATATCACTATTTTCTTCATTTTATGTTTTAGCATGCAATGATTAAATCAATCCATCACCATTGGCCCATAATTTTCATCCGGTAGTTTTTTTTTTTTGGGATTGTGCATTTTTCTTTGCAAGGAAACAGCAGCTTTAGACTAGAGAAAAAAGACTGTTGGTTCAAGGGAACCCGGATCCTTTGGTTAGGGAGAAACCAGAGCTGTTGTTTCGGGAGAAAAAATCGGATCTCTCGTTTTGGCTCCAACTGCCTTTGAGGGTTCGGCCTACAAATTGGCAGATGAAACAGTGGGCAATTCTATATTCTATAGTAGAATTGAGAAGCGCATGCATCTTTTTCTACGCCGGTTTTGTTTATCTTTCCAGTCCAGTGACTGCAGATACGTCTACTTTCTCTCCTTTGGTACTGGGCCCCCAACTAGAGCTATTGCTTGTCGGCTTTTGGATTACTCTCCCCTCGCCAGCCAGGGCAACTCCTATAATAACCGCAAGACTAGCTGGCTCCTAACGAGCAAGGGACTTCGAATAACCCATCATTTTGCTTTGGTTGGGTGGTGCGTGTTGTCCAGGGTGCGCAGTACACAAGACTGAGTACTAAGTGCACTTATGTATGTGTTTTGGTACATCTTATATATGTTTTTTGTCATTTTAGAAACCCCACTGCTGTTAACCAGTGAAATGATACTCTTCAAGTTCACTTGGATATGCGAGGTTTGCTGGGTTGTTCCCATTTTTTCAGAAATATTATTTTATTCATGTGCAAAGGTGGGGGACTTCAGTTTGGCCGTGGCTCGGAATAACACCCACTTAGATTTGATAGGATTTAATTATTATTGGATCCTTGAATTAAACAGGATCAAAAGAAAGAAATTTTGAGGTATTATTATGGGTTGATTTATCAGATTAGGAAAAATATGACAATTGATTGAGCATTTTACTTGTATGGATAGTGGTCTGTTCCTTTATTTTATAGAAAGAGTGCTATTCAAATCCAAAAGTCAGGTATTTTATGGGGTCATTAGATGCATAATGAATATTGATGTTCATCATTTTATTCAGGGAACTATATATTTGGTAGTGTTTCATACATGCTAGCAAGTTAGTTAAGGATGGATTTATTCATTATAGTCATAAGAGGAGAATGTAAATCCTTATTTAGAAACTACCACTTGATCTCTCATTTCATGTTTGAGGGCACACATGGTGTGAGCTTTTCATAAGCTTCGCATTGTAATGGGATTTATTCTATAGTAGACATTGTTTTACTTTCTGTAATTCATATGTTGAAACAGGGCATTAAGGCGTAGTTCAAGTTAACTTCCCTTGAATTGTTACGCATTTGTCAGCAGTCAGCTATGAACACCTTTTTGCTTGGTTCAGTTAGCAATGCATGTGAAGTAGTTAATTTGCTTAAAAAATGGTGCCTCTTTCATTCTATTTCTATAATGTGTGGAGTTGAGATGTTGGGCATCAACAACATTGTCTTTTTTAGGATTCTTTGTAGTGTGCAATCAAACTCTAACATAGACTGTCAAATTTGTTTTCTTGCAGGTTCCTGGGCTGGCAGTTTTTGTTGTAGGCCACACAAAAAAATCACAAAGTTATGTCAATATGAAGAGAAAAGCTTGTTCAGAAGTTGGTATTAAGTTCTTTGCTATAAAACTTCCAGAAGATGTATCTGAAGAGGAAATGATTTGGAAAGTTCATGAGTTTAATGCCGATCCTGATGTGCATGGTATCACCACACTTTTAGATATCTGAGATGGCCTGCGAATTTTTCAGTTTTACCATGATATGTTGATTTGAGCCTGCTCCCCTTCTGTAATTTTAATCCATGCATGAAAATTTATTAGTATCAACGTTTTAAAGATCGTCTCGGTGAAGGTACTCAGCTCTTGGCTGAGGCATGTAACTCAGCCTAGTATTAGAGGACTCGGCCAAGTTATGTACACCCTAAAAAAAGTGTATGAAGGTAAAAAAAAAAAAGAAGTTTGCAATTAAAAAGGTTGAATATAAAAAGTTAGAAGAGGTACTAGAATTCATTGGAATACTAAATAAGATGAAAAAAATCTATAGAAGATGGATTATTGAAACACTCGATTTATACCTTGAATATTTCAGAAAAATTAAAAAAAGAAAAAATATACGAAAGTTCCCAAATCATCTTAGATATATATATATTTTAGCATTGTCTTGGTGCCTGGTGGGGAGGCTGAGTTACTCGTTTGAGTCTGAATGGACTCGACGAGTCCAAAAACACTGGTTAGTATTGTCAAAAAAAAAGAGTGAAATTGCTCCTCCAATATTTATTATGTGATTTTCTGTTAGTTATTTTTCATGGTCAAAGGCACGCGAATTGGGTTTCCTTGTCATGTTCGCATCCTCCATTATTTTTCTCCAAATACGTTTCGTTTTTCTACAAGCATAAGATACTTCAAGATTTGTGGAAGTGGAAACAATAATCTATATTTGTACAGTTATCATAATGAGAGGGCTTCTGTATATCCCTTCACTCCTTGTCAAACACCATACTACAGTTAACTTATATTTTGGTTTCTACATATTTAGTTTTTTTTTAGTCTTTTTCTTATCTGTCATGGAATTTCTATTTAGACAAGGGATTAGTGTGCTTTACCAGCTATCCAGCCATAAGCAAATACTTTTATACATATGTCATGGGTCCTCCTTTGTAAGATAGCTTAATGTAGTGATAAAAGGAACATGCTGTAACACTCAATGTGTGAATTGGCAGTATGGGTTAGTCTGAACTCTGAACTTTAAACGTTCAAAAGAACTTTGAAATACTGGTTCACAGAGGAAATTGGTAGGATTTATATTTTCTCTTTAACTTTAATATGAACGTGCTTTATGGTTTCAATCTATGTTCAATAGGACATCAACACCTACCATTTTAAAGACATGATCTTCTTATTGCGATAACTTCATTTGTTTGTAGGAATGCTTGTCCAACTTCCCTTGCCAAAGCATGTTAATGAAGAGAAAGTCTTAAGTGAAATCAGTATTGAAAAGGGTGTCGATGGATTTCATCCTTTGAACATTGGCAAACTTGCAATGAAGGGCTGGGAACCTTTGTTTCTCCCGTGCACCCCGAAGGTATCTGTGAACTAAAACTGCAAATTTTTTATATGTTGGCATTTGGTAACTTGCAAACTCCATCTATTGAGTATTCTGTTGTTCTTCATACTGTAATCTCTCTCTCCCTTTGTCTCTCTCAATTTTCATTTCTCTGCAGGGATGCCTCGAACTTTTATCAAGGAGTGGTGTTTCTGTGAAAAACAAAAGGGCAGTAGTAGTAGGCCGAAGCAACATAGTTGGGTTACCAGTGGCATTGCTACTTCTAAAAGCCGATGCAACTGTAACCATAGTTCACTCTGGAAATCATAATCCTGAAAGCATCATTCGTGAGGCTGATATAGTTATAACCGCTGCTGGTCAGGCAATGATGGTAATGTGCTTTACTTTTTGTCAACTTTTTTTTTTTTGGTTTTAAAGAAAAAAACTAGTATGGTACTATGATATATTACTGCTATTCTATTATGTCTTTATGACTTTTTCCTCATTTTATAACAATAATGACTATTAATCCAATTCTTTTACTAATATTCCTTTTTCTAAGAGCAGCTAATAATTTAAGGTATAGTATATAACTGTATTGTGGAAGGGCAGGAGGTTAGGTTACTAATATTTCTTCTTCATGTTTTATGTTATACTATTAATTGGTAGATATCATGCTGATGGCAGTAACTATTATAGAACATTGAGAGCTTAACCATTAGCCTGGTTGTCATTTCATCATTCAGGAACTATGAAGTTCTTACTCTTGAATCTTGATTCCAACTAGTCTTGGTTCCCAGTTACTTTGTTCTGTGGTATTCTTTGAGAGATTGGTTCGCCTTATGGGCTTAGTTGAAGTTTTTTCCTGTGGTATTCTTTGAGAGATTGGTTCGGCTTATGGGCTTAGTTGAAGTTTTGTCCTGTGGTATTCTTTGAGAGATTGGTTCGCCTTACGGGCTTAGTTGGAGTTTATCAAGTTTTATTTATTCTGCCATACTGGTCTCGTAAGAATCCTTTTGCAACTGAGGTGTAGAGAAAGATGCAATGTCTTAAGAGGAAGCCAACATAGGCTTTTCCTTCTCACTCTAGAAGTCTCCAAAAGAGGCGGTTATATGAACCGCGTCATCAAATGGTAGAAGCATCCTAAAGTGGTGGCTTACAAAACCGCCTGTTCTTTTGGTACTTAATTGGAGGCGGTCCTTTGGCTTATAAATAGTAGAGAAGGTTAGTGAGAAAAGGTGTAACGGGCTGAGTGTGTAAGTTTTGGAAAGTGTGCTTTTGGTGTGGTTGAGTGTTAGAAATATGTTGAAATATTTTTTTAATAATAAATGTCAGTGTTTCTCTCTCTTTATTGTTGTGTTGGATGGTATCAGAGCTTCCGCAAAATTCTACAATTGGTATCAGAGTGGGTTTGGTTAGGGGTCGTCTTAAGTGAGCAGTGAGACGTTATGAAACCGATCAGTGAGGGATTGAGCTTTTTGGTGTGAGGATCGACGTGCAATCACACCAATCACGATGACGGATCTCGGGAATGTACTTGGAGGGCTCGAGAAACTAAACCACCACAATTACGGTGATTGACGTTCGTGCATAGAATCGTACCTGCAGGGACAGGACCTCTGGGAGGTTGTCAATGGTAACGAAATTGCTACACCAGCAGGAGAGAATGCTGAGGTGCTCGTCGCAAGGCCGGGAAGGCCATGTACGTGCTGAAGACAACAGTTCAAAAGGAACTGTTGGACCACATTTGAGAAGCCACCACACCGAAGCAAGCTTGAGATGCATTGGCAACATTGTAAAACAAATGATGCCCCACTCCAATTTCTGGAAAACAAACTTGGATTAGTATCACAAGGGACTATGACGAACCGTCAGTACTTCACAAAGGTGAAATCTCTCTGTCATGCGATTTCAAAACTCGATCTGGAATCCTGCATTAGCGAGACCAGAATGATACGTATCATCATCATTGGAGGCTTGAGACCCGAATATAATGGGTTCATGACAGCTATCAGAGGATGACAGGCACAACCGACTCTTCTGGAGTTAGAAAGTTTGTTGGCAAACGACGAGGCACTGGCCAGATAGATGGCCGGCATATCTGTAAAAGATGAAGAGGAGGCGCTCTTTGCATGAAAGAATACAAGAGGGATCGCCAAGACCAGGCAAAGGAAAGAGGGCTCCCAACAAAGGGGAGCTAGACGAGGCAATACCGACGTAGATCAGTGACCAAAGAAACCCCAACGAGACATCGAGTGTTACAATTGTGGCAAAAAGGGCCACTTTGCTCGTGAGTGCTGGTCAAACAAAAAGAAGTCAAGTGAAAGAAATACGGTGGCTACAACAAGTTACCAAGACGAGCTCGAAGAAGAGTGGGATGCACATGCATCATTCGCAGTAACCAAAGAAACAAAACTGTCGAGTTTGGAACTAGCCGACTATCTGTCAGTCGATGCAGAGATGAGGCAATAAGAGGAACATGAGTAGCTAGTGCTTAGCACAGTCTCCAACTCTGAAGACATCAATTACAATCAAGACTGAATTGTAGATTCAGGATGCTCAAACCATATGACTGGAGACAAGGGTAAGTTCCTCAATTTGACTGAGTAAAAAGGAGGCAAAATCGTGGTTACTGCTAATAATACAAAGCTACTAATCACCCATGTCGGAAAGGCTATCTGTATGCCTCGATTCAGTACAGGAAAGGCCCAGTTACAAGACATATACCATGTGTCATGAATGAAGAAGAATTTGTTGTCAGTAGCACAACTAACAGCAACTGGCAACTTTGTCGTGTTTGGCCCAGATAACGTCAAGGTGTATCGAAGCATGAAGTTGTCAGACCAACCGATTATAGAGGGCCGACGACTGGACTCTATTTACGTAATGTCAGCAGAGTTAGCTTATGTACAAAAGGCCCAAAGAAGCGAGACTGCTGATCTTCGACATGCTCGTTTAGGCCATGCAGGCTTCAACAGGCTGAAGATTATGATGGACCGATTAATGGTGAGGGGACTTCCTCAACTAGAAGTCCAAACAAATGTTGTGTGTATGGCCTGTCAATTCGGCAAGGGTCATCGACAGCCATACACTGAATCAAACTATCAATCTAAGAGGCCATTGGAGATTATTCACTTAGATGTATTTGGTCCAGTAAAGCAAGACTTGGTCAGAGGCATGAGGTACATGCTTACTTTCATCGATGACTCTTCAAGGTATGTGTGGGTGTACCTAATGAAGGAAAAGTCAGAGGTCTTTGAAAAATTCAGGAATTCTGAACAAAGGTTGAGGGGGAGATTGGCCAGAAGATTCGATGCCTACGCACTGACAATGGAGGAGAGTACACATCGATGGAGCTTTTAGCCTATTTGAAAAAGGCTGGCATCCGACGCCAACTAACCTGTCCCCACCCCCCACAATAGAATGGAGTAGCCAAATGGAAGAATCGCCATTTGGCCGAAACGTGCAGAAGTACGTTGCATGCTAAAAATGTGCTAGGCGGATTTTGGGGAGTGTCTGAAAACAGCAGCACACATCATCAATCGGCTACCTCAACCAAAATTAGAATTCATTACACCATACGAGAGACTCTGGAAGATCAAACCCACTGTAAATTATTTTAAAGTATTTAGTTGTACATGTTATGCGCTTGTTCTAGAAAATTTGCGCAACAAACTAGAGAAAAAGACGGTACGGTGCATATTCGTGGGACATGACACTCAACGGGTTGAGTGTGTAAGTTTTAGAAAGCGTGCTCTTGGGGTGGTTGAGTGTTAGGAATATGTTGTAATACTTTTTTAATAATAAAGATCGGTGTTTCTCTCTCTTCATTGTTGAGCCGGATTCTGCATTAAATAAACATTTTACCCTTCTTTCTACACATCAAAGGCATTCAGCTTCATGTTTCCAATCATACACAATTCATACATTTCTATGAATGTTGCTGTTTTCTCTATCTTCTTGATATTGCGGTCATTGTTATTGCTGATTCAGTAAATTTGGCGCAAATGTTTCATAGATCAACGGAGACTGGATAAAGCCAGGAGCTGCAGTTATTGATGTGGGGATCAATGCAGTGGATGATCCTACTAAAAAGTCAGGTTATAGGTTAGTGGGCGATGCGGATTTCGAGCAAGCAAAGAAGGTGGCTGGTTGGTTAACCCCTGTGCCCGGAGGAGTTGGCCCGATGACAGTCGCAATGCTGCTCAAGAACACTTTAGAAGGTGCCAAACGTAAGTTTGGGAATTAATTTATTCACCAAATTTGAGAGAGAGAGAGTGTGTGAAGCCCGCAAGTTTAGAGGGAACCTGGACTCTGGTTTATTGTCTTCTTTTTTTTTAATAATAAATAAGCTTAGTTCAGTTTATTGTATTGTAAGATGTTTATCAAACAAAGGCTGGAAAATGATCAGAGCAGTGGTTTAAAAAACGGATCGGTGGCCCGGATCGGGCACCCCAAAAATCCATTCGGATCGGTGAATCGGCGATCCGGATCGGGAATATGCCGGATCGGTTAAATTAAGCTTTAAAAAAATCTAAAAAAATTAATAAATTCATTATAAATGTTGTTTGTAAAGAATCCAATAAGAAATCGAGGTACTATATTATTAATTTTCATTTTTCATCAATATGTGAATATTGAGATGTTTTTTCTCTATATGAACTTATTTTGACTATTAAATTTACATCACACAAAAGAAAAATCATAGAATTATCATGGATGAAATATATTATCATAGATGGACTATAATAAAAAATGGTTTTAATCAATAAAAAATGGCCACCAAAATCTCAAATTGGTGGAGAACATTATATACTGAAATTGAACTTGTTGGTATACATTTTATAATTAGTTTATTATACAAATAATAACAAATCCAACCTCTTATTTTTTTTACAATAAATATTTGTTGTATTACTTTTGATCTTTTTTTTTTGACAAAAGCCTTTTATTTCTTATGACAATAACTTTTTATTTATTTTTTTACAAGAAATACTTGTCGTATTACTTTTTTTTTTCTTTAACAAAAGCCTTTTTTTTTTTACAAGGAATACTTGTTGTATAACCCTTTTTTTTTTTTTACAAGAACCTTATATTTTTTTTACAATAAAATTTTATTTTTTGACAAGAAAAAGAAATTTTGTTGTATTACCTTTTTTTTTTTTAACAAGAACCTTATATTTTTTTTACAATAAGCTTTTATTTTTTGACAAGAAATTATTTTTTGTTGCATTACCTTTTTTTTTTTTTTTGACAAGAACCTTATATTTTTTTTGTAAAAAGGAAAAAATTAATTTGTTTGTGAAGGAAAAAATTAATTTGTTTGTGAAGGAAAAAATTAATTTGTTTATGAAGGAAAAAATTAATTTGTTTGTGAAGGAATGATGGCTTCTGGGCTAGAATTGATCCCGTGATGTCCAACGCACAAAGCAACGCTCTAACTACCACATCAAATGTTAAGTTCTGATACAAAGAACTCAATCAATAATTATATCCTATTTCTTTCTGAGCTATTGCCTTGGCGCAATTATCCCACATCGAGTCTACAGAACAAATTTGGTACGGATAAATAGTCTTCTACTACCAAAGCTAGTTGCGCGAGAAACGCACGTAGCAGTGTGGGTTTGTGAAGGAGCACATGTTTTTGACAATGGGTGCCCATTGTAACTCTAAAATTTACAAAAATGCCCCATGAGACAATGAGTACCCTTTGTAACTCTAAAATTTATAAAAATGCCCCTTGTGACTCATGACATCATGCGCGTGCACAGAACCAAGCGAGTCATTGCGTCAACGGGGCGAGTCACTCGAAAATTTACAAAAATACCCCTTGTGACTCATGATGTCATGCGTGTGCACATAACCGGGCGAGTCATGGCGTCATCCGGCGATTTACATAACCGGGCGAGTCATGACATCATCCAGCGATTCACTGTACAGAATCGTCGGTTCTTCTCTAGAATCGGACGATTTCCGGTTTTACAAAAGAATCGATATGGGATGACCGATTCCCGGTTTGAATCTGCCGATTCCGTGCCGACTCGGCGATTTTTAAACCAAGATGACCAATTCCCGATTCGAATCGGTCGATTCCGTACCTACTCGACGATTTTTAAACCACTGGATCGGAGTAAATAAGGAAATTGAGCCCCTTCCACTTTTTTCTCTCCCTTGGAGAGAGAGGGGTAAATAAGGAAGTTGAGAGCTAAAGAAAATTTGCACTATAAAGAATGGTTGTGATTAAAACTTTGTATTATCTTCTAGTTGATAATTAATAATTGTGTTATGAATTAAAGTTTATTTGAGTTGAAGATAAATACCCTTCTCCTTTAATAACCCTCTACAATCGTCTTTACAATCTTCTTTCTAGGGAGGACTCGTATTGATTGAGCAAATCCATGCTAAGGAGTAGGGAAAAATATGACATGATTCGTATAACATGCAAAGGAGGACTGGACTTTGGCCAGGGCCCCTTTCAGCCCAATTCGGACTGGGTCCGGCTTAGGCGAAGCTTCTAGTGACCCCGGCAGGGGCCGAGCAGGGTTGTCATGGCTCCGGTGACAGCCTTGCCGGCCATAGTTTTAAATAAAGTTAATTTTGGGGGATCATCTGTAAGGCACAAATGATTTGGGCTCTCGTAATACTATGACGTACTTAAGAGGATGTTGCATCGTGAAAACGATAAAACACATCATTTTTAAGCACTGATAAACGATGTTAACTCCATCCAATTAATCAATGTTTTAAACTCATCTTGGTAGGGTGAAGAGGCTATTTGAGAAATCGGTATGGGTTGGCAAATCATCGATCCAAATTTTGGCCAATGAAAAAATTAAAAAATTGAGAAGAAAGTAAAAAATTTGGAAAACAATAACAAAAAATAAAATGTGGAGCCAGAATGGCTAGTTCCTTGAGAGAATCAACTAGTTTCGTCAGAAAATCAGACAATTCCTTGTGGGAACTGTCAAAGTTCCCGATACATTTAGGAAATTGAGATGACCCCACATATTTCAGGATTCTAATCTGACTTGACATTTTTTAGAACCAACATTTCAAAACTTGGATCAATGGGCTAGGTCTTTCTCCCACTTATCCATGCTTGATCGTTGGATCTGCGATCCGGATTGGGTATAGATTGGTTTGAAAGTGATAGAGAAAAATGTTAAAATAAATAAACAAAAATTTAAATTAAAATAGGGATTTATTGGGCGGAGATATAGAGGGGACCTAATAAATAATTACAAAAATTATATATATATATATATATATATATAGGAAGATGCGTAGGGTGAGCCCACTAGTTCACAGAATAGTATAGACCCAATCGACCCATAT